GGATCTGAATGAGAACCATTGGGTAGTTTGTGTTGGCAAGCTCAAGATCATCATCTTTTAAAGCTTCCCATTTGTGTACTTTCTCAGGTCTTCTTCTAAGCAATTTCACAATCACTACAACTATGCTCATATAAACTCTTTCTATGAACAGCAAAAATGACATCACCAAACATAATGTCACTAAGACTTGCAAGATTGGTATACAGACTAAGATTCTTGTCTGTTTCCAAATATATCCAATCTCTCCAATTATGCCACTTCTAACAACTCCATCTGTTTCTGATGATGATGATGCTAAGTTGTGTCTTTGGACCTTAAAACCCAAAAAAGAAAGAGGATTATATACAATGTGAAAGGAGGATTAAGAATCATAATTAAGTGAAACAGAGAGAGAAATTATTTACCAGAAACCAAGAGGAAGGTGATAGAGAATCACAAAGAAAGAGGAACAACTTCATAAATGGTGACATTTCTCTCTGCAAAAGCTCAAAACTTGAGCATGGAGAAGATAGGTTTCCTCTAGCAGAGATCTTGGTTTTAAATCCTGAGTTTGTTTATGATTCATAACAATGTCAGGACCAGATCTTGTTTTATTCCTTCATTTTTATAAAAAAATAAAATTAGTAGCTACTAGCATCACATTCCCTTCATTTTCCTTAATGTCTAAACAACTTAAAAAAATAAAATAAAAGGATTAGTCTTATATAATTATAATTATAAGCTATGATTTTGGTTGGGATGCATCATGCATCTTTAGTCAATTGTATCCACTTGCTCAATACTCTAGTAGATAAAGTCGAAGTAAATGTTACAGTTGTATTCGTTATTTTATTTTATTTTGTAAAATTGATGTTGACTTTTGCTACTATTTTTCTAATATTGAACATTCCTCTATGCGCTACATAAATTTGTTTGTTCTCTGATAACGTGTTTCAAGACTGTTAAAACTTCAAACAATTTTTTTTTTTCAGACTGAGAATGCAAAAAAATAGCTTTTTGTACTTTTATCACTCGAATAACAAATAGTACAAATAACCAAAAAATGTTTTTCCTTAATTTAAAGGGACAAGAAAAACAAAAGATGTCATAAGGAATATGATGTAGGCTTGGATTTGTCAATGTTTTTAGTTGTAAAAATTGAAAATATTAAAATGAAAAAAAAAACAAGAATAAAATAATGATTTGAGTTCATTGACGACCCCTTTTGGGGAGAAGAAAGTGATGGATTGATCTATAAAATGAAATTTCACACACATTGGATCTGCATAATCAGGTTGAACAAATTGGAACAAAAGTTTAGAGATCCGTGTATAAAGACAATGATGTTGAAATAAGATATGCCCTCAAAAAGAATAATTCTAAAAGTCATAAACTTTTAGAGATTCATTTACAATAATTGGCTCACAAATGCAATATGAGTCAAATCAGATTTCTAGAAAATAGAGAGTTTGGGATTTTACCTCAGAGGCTTTATCTCTTCTACCACTACAGAGAGATCTCTACAATTTGATTTTTAGAGAGAGAAGCCAAGCACTTTTTGCTTGGTCACAACTTTGCACTCTCTCTCTCTTATTTTTGTGTTCACAATAATTTGCAATAAAGTGGAAATGAAATGAACATGAGCATTATTTGGTTTTAATGGTAAACAATATGATTATTCTCGCACGTCTTAGATTCTCCGGGTCCAATACTACACAAGTTTGGTTATTTTGTTCGTTTTTAGGAAATATTTATTTAATACCATTCTTTGGATATGGACAAACCAATTAACTTATTACCATATAAATCGATTATTTGATTAGTGATTATAAATTGAAAACTTCGTCATCTTGTTAACATTACAATAAAAAACAAAATTGAATGATTATAGCGGATAGAGTGGACAAATTCATTTACATACAATATTTGTTTTTTATTCACCATTCATAAATTTTGGTTTGTAATGTTGCGGACCAAAAAATAAAATAAAAAATACCTTGCGGACTAATCGCAAATGTTTTTAGTGGAAAAAATTGGTATCGAACGGATTATTATCGGTTTCAAAAAGCGTTTTAATCTGTAGACGGATTAATTTGTTGCGACAATTCAAATCCAGTTATATGGGATGCAAATTGCAAAAGCCAAGAATAAATAGATCTCTTAGTTTTTATGCAGTTGTTGAGTTGTTATTGAAAGAGTAAATAAATGGGTTGGCATTGGTCATTGATGTTTACAGCTACACACAAATTGACAATATTATTTAGAAAACAATACTAATAATTTGTGGGAAGAAAAGAAAAGGAGAAGAGTTTAGCACGTGCCAAACATATCAAAAACAAAAATTCATATCAATTGCGTCTTTTGGAGTTCCCATGTGATGTGTTCCTCTAATCCTATAAGTCATTTTTATTTTGTTTTTCCATCGTGAGACTTCATTCGCAAAAAGTGAAACGAAAAGTTACATCGAGTGTTTTTATCATACGAAAAAGTTAACATTTGAAAAAATATATATTTTGAAAAAATTATTGTTTAATTTAATAAAAGTTAACATTTTTTTTCCATTAAATAGAATAAGAATTTCTCATTCATTAAAATAAAGTAGAGTTTCTCATCTTATATATTTCAGAGAGATTTAACACGACAAATCCAAAAGCAAACTAAGTACTTACATATTTTATTTCATATCCCTAGAGAGAATCAGTAAATACCAAAGGTTAAGTGATAGTCTTATTTCTGCCTAACCACCGGGAGTGAGACGGGTGGGTGGAAGGTCTGAAATGGTTTGTCGCAGGGCAGTCTCAATCAGCTTGGCCTCTTCAGAGAAAACCTCATTGTCTTCTTTCTGAGCCTAGCTCTCTCGGCAAAAAAAGCAATGATGAAACTTCTTACGTGCTCAACAAGAGAATAATAGAGCTTCATCTTCTGCCTAATCATTGTCTCAGCCTTAGAGACTACACTTAACAGACTCATTGGAGCAAGAATTGTTGGATTGCATGCATACACAGGCACCAAATATAGTAGTAGCTTCCCTGAAATCTTCAGCATCTTCAGACAAATCCAGTCCACATCACTACTGTTGTTGAGGTCAAGAGTAAACTTCCACTCTCCAGCATCATAGACGTCTTTACCATAGTTGGAGACCTCGCTCTCGAAACCACTGTACCGATCCTATCTAACGGTGAACCTAGCGAAATGGAGATTCTCCCTTGTCGGAACGTCGGGAAAGTCTCTGTCTTGGTACGTCATCCACCGAGTAAGTTCACTGTGCTTTGCCGGTATGTGGCTGCTGCAGCGATGAGTACGGCGATTCATCATCATCATAACTTTCGCGTATGTGCAGCGAATGTGCGGCAGAGATAGCAAATCTTGAAAAAGAGAAGCGGAGATTAAAAGTTAACATTTCAAGACTAAATTATTTTAGTTTAGATATTTTAACCATTGCATTTTGATAAAACAGCTAATAGAAAATTAACTTTACGTTATTTCACTAATTAGGACATATTTCTTTCTGATACATCTCCAAAATGTATTTAAATTGTATTTAAGTTAATGATACAAGTCATACACTGTTTAAAAGGAAGTTGTTCTTATCCTTTTATTGGTTCATCTGGTATTTGGTATTTGTTAACTTAAAAAGCAACAGAAACAAAAAAGAAAAAAAATTCCAAACTTTAAAAATGTTTTAAATATGGTTAACATTCAAATTTAATATGACCCTCTCTCTTTTCTTTCAACATGTATTATATGGATTCAAAATTAGGTAGTGACACAACGAAAATACTAATACAATTATAGTAAAACATTTATATGTAACTTGATTTTTTCATCAACATTTTAATAACATTAACATAGTTCGGTTGTAATAAGAGAAATTAGTAGAAGTAGCCAAGAAAACTTTTATAATTAGCAGAATAACTATATTGATTCTAAAGATAGGTTATCATGTATTCAACTTCCGTCATTATGGCCACCGTCACCAAAATCCCTCGCCATCATGTCCACCGTCACGTGGACATATGTATATTCAAACGGTGTTAGAAAGCTCGATTTCTTTTCAAGCCAAGTTTCAATGCGGCGGCACATACATCACTTCTCCAAATCCCATAAATTTGAGTTTATAAAGGGCAAAATCGGTAATCCAACAAGACAAATGGTTACTTGTTAAAATAGTCAAATAGCATGGTTATTTTCTCAATTATACAACCCAATATTGCTATTAGCCAAATTGACCTTTGTAATAAAAGTGTTTACATACAAAAAAAAACCTTCATTAGAATAATCTTTAGGATTAGTGCTTCCTCAAGGGATTCTCGGAGGTTCGTTGCAAATGTCGTGGTCTTGGTCTCTTTCAGGTACCAACTGTGCAGTCCTCCATACTAGAGCCTCACTGGTCACTCCTCGCATTATTTGCTATGTATTGTGGTGCTCTTTTAAAATCTGTCATTCATCATTTTCCAAATTAACCAATATCAATATGTATTTAAATTTTATTAACATTTCATTAAAAATTTAATGTTAAGAAAACTTGCATAAGACTTGTATGAAAAAAAAATTGTCAAAAATGCCATTTGTTTGAAAAAATGTTCAAAAAATGCGATTAATTCAAATTTTTTTGAAAAAATGCAATAATTTACTGT